CTTCTGTTTCCTAGTAAAAATCTGTTTACTTTGATGCCCCGCACACTATGGACTTTTAGTCGGCTGATAGTTTGATCGGCTTCTAATTTGTATGTGGAATGGGCCGATGACAAATCGGTGTAGTGTGCGCACTTCCATACATGTTCATACTGATTAACAGCGCGACTAAACTATAGAGCTACTTAAAGTCTGTGGAGTGTCTTAAACATTACAAAAGACTGCAACACAGTTTATTAACGGTTAGTAAAGACAGATTTCTTCTTCTTCTTCTTCGTCGCTACACTCTTGCCAGAGTAGTCATGGTCGTCACACCTGGGTTAGTGGCAAGCTTTACAATCCGTCGCCATAATTTTTCAGCTTTTCCGAATTTAATATCGTCCCCAGTAATCCAGATTCAACACAATCGCGGGGCATTTGACAATTAAGAACTCCCAGTTTTTGCCTTCTCGCAAATTATGGCAGTTGAAAACAAACTTTTACGACGCGACCTTTTTAAAACGAACAAACAAGCAACCTTGGAGCAAACTCTGAATGCCTAAGTACGGACGACAGCACATCAGGTTACCCATTTTTGTTGCAAACTCGCCCTTAATACAACTGCACAAGAACCCACAGCGGTTACGTTGACGTGCCGTTGTACAAACCTCGAAACACGCCACTCTAAACACAAAGGCTATTAAGCAAATTGTTTAGAAGGAAAGTTTTTATTAAAGCGAACACTCTGCTCACACCATGCTTAGAAGTTACAGTTTAGTAATAGCCCTGTAAAAGACTACGGGAATAGCGGTGGTTATTTAATAAAGTAATACCAGCTGCTAGGGATGCACCGATCCGATTTTTTGGATCGATTCAAACCATACGATTTTTGTAAAAAAGAATTATTATGAATGAAATCGAAATAACTTTATCAGTTTTTAAGCGGCATTTTTTAGAAAGCCTATGCCTAGGGACCATGTTTAGCTTGATGTACACCCAAATAAATGATGAAAGAATAATAATATGTTTCAAGTTACTTTACAGAAAAATTGTGGGTTGATGCAATGCAATCGTAAAATAAATATCCTTGGACATTTTACACTGCTCCTCTAGCCCCAAACTAAGCAAAGCTTGTAGGTGGGTACCTACTAAACAACGGATATACACAATACCTACACAGTCATAGTTAAATACTTTTTTATCATTATTAAAAGTATATCATTTCAGCTGATATTTTCGTTAAGTCCCATATCGATTATAACCATCGAATAAGTAAGTGCATACTCGTACAATCGACATCCCTAGTAGTTCCGAGAGCTGATGAAATTTTCCAGTAGTTGGAAGTTGGAGATGGTATTAGATTTCTTACTAGTTTTTAACAACTATTTTATAGGAATTATGATCTGTCGGAGTTTTCATGAAACTTTCTTATATTTGTTAACCGAGTTAATATTATTTTTAAGATGTATACCAAATGATACGAACGAACTATAATGAAAATGGACAACATTTTCTAACATTTTAGGAAGCACACGCTTTCGACTATCATTATTTTTATTGTTTTATATGGTAATGCCAAAATACCTGCGCTCTGTCTGATCCACACTTATGCCAGTTGTTTGTCAGAGATTCACTGTTGTATGTTTTAATTCCCAATCTAAAGACAACCTTAGGTACTTCAAAGTCGCAAATGATATGGCAGATACCTTCAATAATGGAAATAATATGGTAAATATATTAAATACCAATTTTGCCTCCAACATCGGCAAGATACTTCCAAACATTGGCGTGCAATTTGCAGCATTCCATTCCTAACTGTATTTTTAATTCTAACCCTACTAATACCTCCACCATAAACTCGGAGGGAAATAACAAGAGCTGAATATAAATTGAATAAACCGTGACTTAGTCAACGCGTTCGCAGCGTTCGCTGCTAAAGTGTAATTGAATAATTTCTTTAACGAAATGAAACTGAATTCTCAGACAATTCCACCCCGGTAGCTGCATAAAGAATTTTATCGTGGCAACCTACTCTTTATAAAGCGGAGTTATGTCGCTGGAAGTGCCTGGTGTGAGCAAAGGAAGAGGAAAGCATTTTCTTGGAGAATTCTGAGCTTGTAAGGAATATTCGCGGACCGCATGTGAAAAGGCTGCTTGCCTCGTGTTTTATTTACAAATACAAACTTAAGACAGTAAAACGATGGGGACATAATTATTTCCCGTCTATATTCTCTTGGTAAGTTCCAATGCTTCCAATTTTCATAGTATGTAACATTAATATTCATGATTATAAATAAGACATGCGTTTTCATGCAATATTTTTAGTCATGTTTTTTTTTAATAATACTTGTCAATGTCGACCTATTCATGTTGAGAAAAGTGACAATAATAAAAGTATAAAAATCAATGAGCTTGGTAGACTTATTGCAAAGATTGATGTTTTCCAAAATTCGGGACAGAACACTTCAACCAGAATACGTCATCCAACTTTACCGTTAAAGCTATAATTACCGTTACCGATAACATTAATCACCCACACGTATTATTAACACGTAGACGTAGACCAATTATAACAATATATGGCGGGATGCAATTCAATAACATAATAATAACGAATCATTCCGTCGTTAAAGGAATTAGGCGCCCAATATAGATATCCGTTGAATGATAATTTTGTGTTGTCTTTCGTTAATTATAGCGATCGAGCGAAGGGCAAACTGATATAAATAACCTATTGATGGGTGTGAATTTGCTTTGGATGTTGTTATGGAATTGGTAATTAGGTTAAATATATCTGAGAAACCGTTTACATAATGATTGCTGAATCTAATATTAATTATTTTACCGGAATTTAATGTTATTTTCAATATTATGTTTAAACGGCAGTAATTTTTTTTAAGCAAAGGAATTTAAAACGCGGCGCGGTTGTCAGGTGCTTCAAATACTAAAATCTAAGGCTGAGTTGCACCATCTTACTTTAACTTTGACAAACGTCAAAAAGCTGTCAAATTCCATGCAAAAAGCACCGGTCATCGTTAAAGTTACGGTCAAAGTTAGGTGGTGCAAGCCTAACTATCGCTATTAATCAACTGTCTCGTTATTTTGTTTCAGCATAGTATAAGCTCAGCAATATTTGGAATAAATAAGTGTTTTTTCGATAAATAAAATACTTGAAAAAATCGAACTGCCTAAGGCGGGAATCGAACCCATGACCTTTCGTTTGCCGGGCGACTGCTCTTTCAACTGAGCTACTTTAGACACTGGATGGTCGTGGCGTGATGATTAGCGAAACGACCTTTCGCTTCGCACGGGTTCGATTTCCGCCTTAGGCAGTTCGATTTTTCAAGTCGTTTATTTAAAATTTCGTTTGAGAAGTGACTCTAATCGCTAAGAAAATTTTAATAATGATTAAATAATGTGTGATTTGTGCAAATGTTCATTTATTATTATAATTTTCAAAACATTTACCGTACCTAATCTGAAAATGATAAGCATGCAATTACTCTGTCAATATTATACCATCCTAACTATCTCTTTTCTCAAAGCCACATCCAGTCTCTCTACAGCAATATCGTATAATTTTATCTCACTAAGTCTGCCAGTCAAATTACTGAAGACGAACGTTGCAAATTGAAACAGCGAGCATTGCTTGCGCATTGTACGTTCCGTTTCAAGCAGAAACCTTAAATTTACATTGTAATTATAATTTTATTCCACTTATACCCGATAGGGTGAAAGGGTTTTTTCTGCTACGTTTTCTGCAAAGTGCGCGATTTTGTTAAAATTCTCAAGATGTCTGAGTTAGATGAGATGAAGTCGTTAGAGACTCAAAATTGTGAATTCGTGGAATATTTGGGTAGATTTTTAATTTTTTTCTTTTAATCAAAAGCCCACTCTAAAATGCTGAATCACTAGCATTGAAGTGTTTAAAAAGGTACGTTTGAAATACAATGATAATATTATCTATATTTTTTATCTAGCTTTATTTAGTGGGCGTGTCCTAAAGAGGGCTGACAACCTAATAAATAATTTCTATTTTGTCCACTTTGGATAAGACGCTCCAAACTCAAATCTAACCAATTGTCCTGGAAAGTGGCAACTTCCTAAAAAGCAAATAATCAAAAAAGCATCAAAAACTTACTTCTAAACTTTCTGTTAACCACTTTACAAAACGAATTTTGCACAAAATTATTTTAATTAAAACAAACAGCGATTCAAAACAACGAGCCTTACAAAATGGCTGACCACCAATTAAAAAACCACTACAACACCATCTTTTATATTAAAATGTGAAAACTTTAAAATTAACATTATGCAGATACGTTGGGCGCCATTTGTAATGACCCAATTACGATATACAACATAAAACTATGTCGTGGAACTTGCGTGACCTATGGCTGTTATACGTGACCCGTAGACGCGTGTGCTAAGGTCGATGTCGGACTGGCTAGAGATGCCCCCTGGCTAGAGATGTCGATAATCCTAAATCCACTGTATGTCAAACAAAAATTCGGGACAAAAATTAACGAGATAAAAAGTAAAGACTAAAGAGGCAACGGTTTTTTTTATTACGGTTATTGAGAAAATGTGAAAGTTTGAATCTTGTTTTTATCTTGGTATAAACTTGGTATGATACGAGTATTGAATTTTGTTTACGAGGTTTGAAATTTGCCCAAATACTCGGGCAAGATAAAATCATCAGGGATACTTTTTTATACAACACTCATTTAAAGCTTTCAAAATCTGCAGAAAATTGGCGTGTGTCATACGATGAATGAAAATTTTATTGAATCTACTTGTGCCAATGATTGTATTTTTTTTTCAAACTTATGGCACGGTGGTGCCATAATTGACAACTGTAACTTATCGATAACAACAAATCATCGTTACACACATCTCTAGAGAGCTTCCAAACGTTCTGACCTAAGTAAACGTTTACCCGAAACTTTAATTGTTTTCTTCACGCGATTAAGATGCAGCCCTTGTGTTCCGGAGATCTAATTTAATACAACTAATTGTAAGCCCTTAGACAAATTAAATGATAATACTAACCTTAGTTGATTAGCGACGCAGGATTAGTTGAAATCTGTAACAAAATACAACTTGATTAGTTTCTCTATTCTTAGAAACAAAAGACGTACAATAAAAGTATTTTGAACAGAATACAACAAATTTCAGGCTATACCTACTCAATTTAGGTATTTTTTATTACTTTCATTTTATTTGATTACTTCAGCTTTGAGCTCCAAGTTTTTTATATCTAGTGTAATATTTCAAATACAACTTTAATTTATCATTTTCAAAATCAGTACGAATTTCCATTTGCTGTAAAGTGGGAAAATTATATTTAACATAGTGCATGTGAGAAAAAAATAGGTTACATCACTAGCGTGTCACACGGACTGAATCCGGAAAAAGCTAGTTTCATATAAGTATTTCACCGTGACTTCCTCCCAGAGACCTAACAGCCATTCTTTTAGATGTACCTTGCTATAGAAATACGCCTTTTGATTTTGGCAACGAGCAGTTGCAAAACATTATACATGCTACGTATTATTACCTACCTACTATTTGTTTAAGTTTAAAGTTTCTATACGGCTAAGTCGGTCGATTAGTATTCACTAAAGAAAAACAATAATGAGACAACATCGCTGATCTTAAACGTTCTGGTATGGTAAACTTACACTTTTGCCACTGAAAATTGAGGACGAGGGTGGCAGACATACGGCATTTTGTGATTACGCCAATTTGCGTGATTTCTTTTCTAGATGTCTACAGACTTTGACAATACCTTACAAAGGAATCTTTACACACTAGTTCATCCAGATGAAGAACTGCAAATTAGGTAAAACGCTATAATATTGGTAAGTTATCAGCATGTTACATATCATTATCATGTCGTAAATCAATAAATAAATGCTGACTGGGATCATTTTCCCCAATATGTATTTGTGGTAAAAAACCGATAACTTTGTGGTTATGGCGAGTTCTTTACTAGACCTTCCTTGGCACCAAACTTCACAAGGCTCATGTCACTGTAAATCAACACATCATAAAGTCAAACTTCAGGAAAAGCCGCAGTATTCCAAATCGACTATAAATGTGTCGGTCACTAAGCGGCCCTTTAACGATTCCCCAAGTTGCAAACATAAAAACCTGCTGATGTTCGGATCCTCGAAAGGCCTAACGACATTCCATTAAATAGATTGGACGTGTAGAAAGTGCAAACATTTTGTTGAATTGAAAAGCTAGCTTGACCTGGCTGTTACAAGGCGGTAGATAAGGCTAGGGTGGGCATAATTAAGTGTGGTTAAGGATAAGTGCTAATTGGCCACTCTATAAACACGATTGCAGCTCTACAACCAATGTCTGATAGCTTAAAACCATTTTCTGCCTTTCATCTGTTTACTCATTCCTTGTCAGAAACCAATGGTGAATATAGGCTTTAGAAGATGATATTATCATGTTTTAAGGCCTCTCACATGGCATGGCAATAGAAATACGACTAAATAAGTCCAAATAGCATATAACACTCCAACCTTTGTTAACAAACTGAAATATTTTATGTACCTAGAGATAACACATTTCTATTGTTGTCTCGATAGATCACATCTCAAGATTTGCATATTTCCTGGTGCGGATTCTTTAGCTATTGATATTGATGGTAACAGTAGAGTAATGACCACATTGAATCCTACAAATGACGAAACATGTGGTGTCCTTACAACATTTATGAAGATTGGAAATTTTATTGCGCTGATTCTGTAAATTCTGTAACTTCCATCAAGCTGTATAACAAACACCCGTATTCACAAACATTACTATGAGACGCACGCATGGACGCACAGTGTCAGACACGAATCAATCACAGAGCTCTATTCAATGCTGTGCGTTCGATTTGCTGCTTCACTTAAGCAAGCATCGTTTGTGAATACGGGTGTCAGTAAGTATGGTAACAGTTAATTAAGTCCCTCATTGAGTCCTACAAAAGCCGCAACGTGTGTTGCCCCCACAACAGGATAGGCGCAGCCTATTCATGCCAGTCCACAATACATCTCAGGCGCTCGCCGTCAGCAGCGTGACTCCACGGGAAAAATATCACTATTCTGTATCAACATGTCATCTTCTGAGCGAAAGATATTTATAGCTCGTTGTGTTGAATATACGAGTAACATGCGTGAACTAAAGTTTCATCATAACTAAGCAAATATATGTAGAATCTAGAATGTGTAGAATGTAAAATCATGTACGTCATGTCACGTCTCTAGAAATGACACGAGGAGAAAACCTCTATAAAAAACTGGAGGAGGTGATTGGGGGTTCCTTCGAAGCCTAGCCTGAGGCGAAGCTGCGGACGAATGTCCGAGCTAAAACAAAAACTCGCGGCTCCGTTTCTTTGGACTCCGGTGGACACCGTCGGGTTTTAGTGGGTAGGCCCCGCCGTTAGTAAGCAGGCGGGGAGTCCCACATAACCCACTGGCCGTCCCCATCGACCATTTGGTATGCACAAAGTACTCGTATATCCCGACGTAAAAAAAGGCTCTAGAAATGAGAACTCGATGGAGAGACCGGTAGTTCATGGCCAGATGGAAGGCAAGACAGCACGCGGTCGATCGCCAACCCGCTGGACAGACGCCATCTTAAAGTTTACTGAGTCCACCATGGTCATGAAAGCACATCGCCAGGAGAGCTACCATCGGAGATAACAGCGAACACCCTACCGTGTACCTCTAGCGCAACCACGACCACTCTGACAAGAGTGTCCGACTAAAGAAGAAGAATGCAACATACGTAAACTAAAGGTGCAGATACACGCCCATAAAGCGTGCTCGAACAATTCGATGTGAGAATGCTAATTTTAAAGTGCATGTAATTTGGTGCCAAATAATATTTTTTCTTTCTTTCTTTAGTTTTAGCAATTATTTCGACACACATGCTACTAAGTAGCTATTGCTCAATAGTGGCAAATTTGTTGTCTTGAATATAATAGAGGCAAAACGCAGTCGTTAGGAATATTTCTTGAAAATTTTACTTTAAATGCTAACAACAAAGAGATTTAACTTTTAATGACCAAATCTTTCTTTAATTGCTAAATATAATATTACACATGGCCATTGTGGACACTCTACTCCTAACAAAAGCATAATTGTAAAAGTTAACGCAGATTATTAATTAAGGGTGGGTTGCACTATCTTACTTTAACTTTGACAAACGTCAAAAATCTGTGAAACTGCGTACAAAAACACCGGTTATGGTCATAGTTACCGTTAAAGTTAGATGGTGCAATTCAGCCTTAGACTATTCAATCTCTAATTCAATACATTTTTTATTTATTCATAGATAAACTAAGAATAAATTAACTATCGTTTTCGCAAAACAGCTATATTAACGAGTAGTTTTGTGTAATAAAATGTGGATTCCTATTTACACACAATGTGTACATAAAATAAAGATTCCTTTCTTGCAGTCTGGCAAAGCAAAACAGTGCTTAAATTTACGCCAGTAGAGGCAGGCTCGTTTGGATTAATTTTCCAGTTAACCTGTTTTGCATCGGCGCATTTGTTCAGCAAGCTCATTTTCTACATCAATTCACTGATTCAGAAGCATTATACTGGATCAATGGGGGCGATGACTTGGTTAATTTTGAGCTGCAAAACAAGACGCTATGGGGTTAATAAAGAAAAGTTAAGTAATTAATTTCTAAAGAATGCAGGACTCTTAAGTTTTTTGATTTTCAGGTTGTGAAAGTAAACGCCGCGTTTATTTAAGCAGTTACAGCTTAACTAACTTTACTAATGCGGTTAAGTAACTTGAGACTCAAACCAATAGTAACTACATTGAGGGAGGCCTATATTCAGCAGTGGACATCCTGTGGCTGAAATGATGATGATGACGTAAATATACCGAATTACCGACGTACAAAAAATATTAACTATTATTTTTGGCATCACCCTGTATGAGTCACACCTAGAAATTTTCTACTTACCTTGTTAAAACCAAAAACCAACACTGCAAAAAAAAGGTAAATCAGACCAGAACGAGCGAAAGGATTTTGTTGAAAATTTGTAATTTGCTCATAGTGAAAAAATGAGGTTTACCCGAGAAAATGTACATTTCCCAGGGGCGCAATACCATTTTTCTGCGACGAACTAAATCCCAAACGTGTCTGGACGTGCGGACAAAAGCCATTGCAAAATAAAACCTAACCACAAATAAAGACTTGACTTCAAAATACGCCACTCTTGGAGTGGAGTCTTAGGCTGACACGGTATAGGTTTGTGTTCGACACGTCGACAAGAAGAAGATTTGTTTATTCAGTACATAGGCCCCTTCTAGGGCACTTATTATTTGGGCCAAACATAACTTCATTATGCATCTCTTCAGATAATATTTCAGGCATATGGCGGAAGACGTAGCGTGGGCAGGCGGCGCAACGAGGTCTTTGTGGAAATCCTTGGGGGAGGCCTTTGTCCAGCAGTGGACGTCTTTCGGCTGAAACGAACGAACGAACCAACAATATGGCGATTAAGGTGAATTGCGTAATAGGTAGAACGCGTATTAATTAGCAGTTCAAACCTCAATGTCTTAGACAAGTAACGCTAGGCCAAACTCTCCTAAAATGAAATAAACAAAACATTAAGTGTTTGGCTTACAGGGAACAAAGGGAACGATAAGATATCGCAACATAAAACACATAAAGAGATTTATTTAGTGCAGTCAGTTTCTTGTAATGCAGTTCAATACATGGTATTATTATTATTTTTACTAAGTATGAGAAAACCATCTTGTAAATCATATATACCAAAATTCGTCTCAGAACTATTAAAGTTCATAGACATCTTTACATGACTACTTCATACACTATCGCCTCACATTATTGTTTTTCAAACAAATCCTTCTTCAAAAGTCTTCCATTACCAAAGTTCAGAGAATGCCAAATAGGCACATTTCCAAGAACTACAAAACACTTTTCGAGTGTTTTTCTCCGATTTTTTATAGTTCCGTATCGTCTATGCACATGTTGTAAAATACGCAAATACGATAATATGGATTAATATTCCTCTTTCGTTTTAAGTAGTAGCTAAA